CAAATCCACAAAAGTCAAGGCTGCAAATGTGTAGCGTATTATTCCCAACGGTGGGACAATCAGGACTATGGTTCCACGTCCAACATCTCACCCTGTTCTCCAGAGAGAAAATAATGGATGTGTTTGACACAGAATATTAGTCCATCCCAACCGGATTGGAGTGACAACTGATAAGGCATCCCTCTGTGCATCCGTACATGAAAACAACCCAAACTCGACTCACAATGTCATCAATCAAGTCCCGGATTCCTCTGATGCCAAGAAGGATGAAGAGAGGAAAGAGGAGGGCAAACCAAGGCAACGTAGAAATCTGTGGGACGGTCTGGAATTGGAAACAAAAGCTATCATCATCATCATCATCATCACCACCATGACCATCATAATCATCATCATCATCACCATGACCATCATCATCACCATCATCATCATCATCATCATCCTACTTTCCTCCCAAAATTGGGACTCAAAGTGGCCTACAATTTAAGCTCTTCAGAGACTGGTTATGTTTAAGACAGAGCCTTAATGGGCCCCACTTTTCACAAACTTTTTTCGGGATTGGATCAAAAAGGAGCCTACGAATAGGAGAATCGGTGGACTGATTGGCTAGGACAGGGGTAGGCAACCTTTTTGAGCCAGAGGCCGGGTTGCTGTCCCTCAGACAATTGGGGGGCTGAAGCACCGAAAATAAAAATAAAAAAATTTAAAAAATTAAAAATTAAAAAATATGCATGCACACTCTCTCAGCCCCAGAAAAGCCATGGCAAAACCCCTGTGGAGATTTTGCCAAGAAAACCCCAAGAACAAGTAATAACAACAATAATCAATATCATCATGGCGGGTGGCAGGGCGGCGGCAGGACTGGCCTGGGGCCGGTCCAAAGGCCTCGGGGGGGCCACATCTGGCCCCCCAGCCTTAGGTTGCCTACCCCTGGGCTAGGATCCCCATATGATCAAGTCCAGGGAGGATCGAAGAGTCTCCTAGTTGGTTTCCTCTGGTCACTTAGGCAAATCCGAAAAGTTGCGAAGCTCCAATCTCTGAGGATATAATAATATATTAATACTGTGATCCCTGATGGCTTGGAACCACTCTAGGAAATCAAAGGGAATGTGAGAGAAAGCTTTGACTTAAGGATCTTAAAAGCCAGGCGGGTTCATAGGGAGGCATGGTCTTTGCAACACTCTGGGAAGAAATCAAAAAGGGCTGATGGGTTTTGCACTCCAAGCACACCTTGAAGGTTGCACACTTCTAACACAACGCTCTTCTATCCATACACACACACACACACACACACACACACACACACGAAACCACAGGTGTGAAAGGGAGGTGTTTTACCTGCAACAAAATCATGAAGAGGAAATACAGGTTGGCCATCCGGTGGAATTGCTCATAGAGGTTGAATGGAAGGAAAGTGAAAATGTTGTACTTGGCGGTCTTGATGGCATTGTCCTATGGAAAAGGGATAGGAATGGGAAAGTACAAAGTACAAGGACGGCCAAACCGGATCAGACCCAAGACCCAGTGAGACGTAGTGGTTTCAGTATCAGACAAGCGTTCTGGAAAGCCAGGGTTCGAATCCCTCCTCATCCACTGAGTGACCTTGGGCAAGAAGTCACCCTCTCTCAGCCTCAGAGGAAAGAAGGGGCAAACTTCCCCTGAATAAAGAAATCTTGCCTAGAAAACCCTTGGGGGGGGGGGTCCATCATAAGTCAGGGACAATGTGAAGGTGGGAGACTGAGGGGTGTCGTGGTTTGATTAAACCCCAAGAGATCAGGGTTCGAATCCCCGTTTGGCCATGGAAAACTGTCGAGTGACGTTGAGTGAGTCTTTCAGCCTCATAGGAAAGCAATGGCAAACCTCATTAGAAGAACTGAAATATATAATCACATTGCATCTCAAATGGAAGTAGGCTCAAGTCTAGGAAAGCTCATGCTACCAAATGCTTTCTTTCAGTGAGTCTCAAAGGTGCTACAAATCCCACCAAGAAAAAAAACATAATAATCAGAGAGGCATTTAATCTTTTAATTTCAGCTGCCTTGGGGTCCCATTATGGGCCAAAAATGGGATGTGTATCCAACAAATTGAATGAAGGAATGCAAAAATGCACACAATGCTCATCTCTTGGGAGGACTTTAGCTTACTTTAGCATGGCAGTGGGTTGGATTAGATGACCCCTTGAGGTCCCTTCCAACTCTAGGAATCTGTGATTCAGTTTAAGAAATTTGGGGGATCTGAGGGGCCACATGGGCCAAGGTTGGTATGGGACCCCCCCC